GCTCAGCCATTTCAGAAAGAAGTCAACCCAGACCTCCTGGATGCACTTCCCGCAATTCCAATTACCAATCTTCTTGTTGTGAAAGGTGAAGGTGAAGATCGAAGTCTGGTGCTGCCAAAGCACTTGATGCTGAAGTGGCGTTCTGATGAAGATTTCGGCGATGAATTTTCCAAGTGGCTTGACGCATTTTTGGAAAAGTATTCAGTGAGTGAAGATGCAGACAATTCTTCACCCAACAACAAGAGACAAAACAGTGAAGAAAAAACATCGGAGGCTGAACCGAGCCCAAAAAGGTGTCAAGTGGAGGAAGTGCCTGCAGAATGCTTGCTTCCTTGTGACAAAATTGCAGAGACGCTTCTATTTGAGACGAAGCTTGGAGGAAAAGATACCATTGGATTCCAGATCCGCACCAACCACCAGCTCTATTTGGTCAACCAGACCTCCCATGAGCTCAGTCTCAAAGCAATGTCGCCTTTGGTTGGATTTGGCAGGGGATCGTTCAAGTTGTTCAAGGAAGGTGACACACTACCTGAGAAAGCTTTGCTTTTTCACATTGCTTCCTCAGATGCCTTGGTTTGCCTCAACGGTGCTGCGCAGACAATTTCAGAAGTGCTATTCAACCAAAGAAAAATCAAGCCTGAGGCTACTGTCTGCTACCACAAGGCTACACCTTCTGGGCAAAAAACTGATGGCCAGACATTGTTTGACTTCAAGTTGACCCACAAAATTTGCTTTGTGCCGCCGACGAAACGAGATGGAGCAGATGAAGGAGCAGAAAAACCCGGCAAAGAAGAGACTATATCCTTCACCAACATCGCCTCACGCGAAACAGCTGGTACTTTTTGTGATTTGCAATGCGCAAGTCTGATTTGGCATGTGCGCTGGACAGTCAAGGGGCTGCAGCCGCTGAAGCCCATGATCCATTTAACCAAAAAGCTTTGCCTTGCTGCAGGTCAGTGCTGCAAACTCAATAAGCAATGACATTGCAGTTTGGACCACAGGTAGCATTGAAAATGCCTACGATTTTGATATGCAGATGGCTGCCCCAAATAGGTGACACTCGAAAACATTTTGTCCACACAACCTTGCTATCAATTTTTGCTTCTCGAAAGAAAGCACCATCTGACAGGACATTGCGTTGATGTCCCAATCTTGGGTCTTTTGCTTATCGACATAGTCGACATAGTGCACATCGTGGCCGACAAAAGGAACCAGCTTGAGAGTCATTCTTGCATCATTGTCAAGAGATTTTCAGACATGTGCTTTTATATGTATTGTTTCGCTTCAGTACTCACTCGACAGATGCGCTGGCTGTTGACAATCATGTGGAAGTTTCATAGTAACAGTAATAATAATAATAATAATAATAGCGCTCTTAGCGCTGACCACTTTATAATAGTAATAGCGCTCTTAGCGCTGACCACTTTATGCCAATGGGGTATGTCTGATCGTTGCTTTCTCATATTCAGCCACGAGCGACTGCAAGCCCAAACTTATTGTTATGTTTGGACTTTTGGATTTTATCGACAGAGAGTTTAAATCTCCAATGACAAAACCAGTTTTCTGACATTCATCAGGCATCTCCTTCTCTGGCATTTAGTCTACAATCAATTCAATCTGACATATATTCTGCCATGATACCAGACTGAGACTGTAATACAAAAAGATTCTGAAGTGGTGCCAGTGCTTGGCACAAAACAAACACCTACCTCAAAAAAGTTAACACCTACTTGAAGCCAAAAGTCCTTCTACATCTGAGGGCAATTCTATGGCTTCGCTGCCGCTGAGACAGTCAACGGCATCTGCTGACATGGCGCCACCGCGGAGGTTCTTTAAAGTCAGAAGGAAGAATCCAAAATGTTTGAAAGTTGAGACTATGACTTCATCCGTTTAACTTGCCATCTGTCCGGTTAAGCATCCTTGACTTGAAAAATGCGACTTGAAAACTGCTGTGAAAATGTTTTTCTGGTAAAACGAGGTTGCTATACTAAGCGTACCAAAAACAACGAACAGAACTTGTTTAAGAAAATAATTCATTCCTATTTTGCCTCTATTAAACCTGTCATCTTACTTCAACAAACAGCAGTTCCCCCCCTGCCCTGCGCACTTTTTTAAACAAACACACAATGGGCCGGTCTGGCCTGGCGAAGCTGTAGCTAAAACTACGCACTGCCGATGATGCAGCGCCTGCAAGCAGGTAGCTGCATCCTTCACCAAAAAAACGCAGCGCCCATGGCGAATGGGTAGCTGCGTTGGCCCGCAGCAGCACCCTGGAAAGTCAGCCAGTGCAATGCCATGAGTGCTGCTCTCGGGCCCAGTCATTGTCAGCAATTGCTTTGTTGCACCTTGGGCAGCGCGGGCGGCGGTAGGCCTTGCCCTTCCCCTTGGCCAAACACTTTGTGCTGTTGGCCTGGTGGGCGGCCAAGGCGGCATCCACAGCACGCGGGCCTCCGCTCGCCCTCAAAACCGTGCCGCAAATTGGGCACTGATTCGGCGGGGCGCCCGTCGGTCTTGGCGGCGAGTAGCCCCGCCAGCTTGCTGCTGCTTCTGATTCTGGTGGAGCGCTCGATCCTGGCGGCGAGTAGCTCCGCCAATCCGATGACGGCGGCTGGTCTGGGCTTCGTGGTCGCCGCTCGCCCCGTGGCTTTGGTGGTGGTGGCCTTGGCGGTATCCGTTCAGGCACCACGATCCGGAGCCTTGCTGACCTGGACCGGAGATCCAAGTCCACTGCTGCCGGATGGCCTCCGTGACGCTGCTCGTCGTCGGGATCATCAGGGCCGGGCCTGTATGTTGGCGATGGATCTCGGCTAGATGATGATGCTTCCCACTGGCGGTCCAGTAGGGAAGTCTCATTGTCCGGCTGCTGTGGCTGCGGCTGCGGGGATTTGCTTCGGCTGCCATCCTGCGTCTGGCTGGGCAAGTCCCGCCGCTGCAATGGGGACTTGCGTTTTTTTCTTTCTTCCCTTGACTTATGCTTCGATTTGTCTTTCTTTTTTTTTTCTTCTTTTTGGCGGGCAGCGCCGCAGGTTGCGGTGGCTGCCGGCTTTGGTCGCGGTAACGCGCCGCAATCAAAACCTGGGCCGGTCTGTCAGACTTGGCATTGGATTCATTGGACCCTGAGTCAGCATGTCCGGAGGAGGCGGCCATCGTCGTGTCAGTCCCCTGCTTCACGAAGTGTGATTGTTGTCATGCTACTTTGAAGACCATGGTTTTATTTACTTCTGATTGTTGTTTAAAAAATGAAATTCTATGTCGGTGGCAGATGGTCTGGTTGTTTTAAAAATGGAAATTTGAAAGTTTTATTATTCAACCACATGAAATCTATCATGATTGCTACCGCATTGATTGGAAACGGCTGCGGCGAACAAGTCATCATGGTTTGACCCTCCCAACCTCTTTCAACTGACAGTTGTTATACACTCCAAAAGCACGCTGCTGCACTGCCTTTTGCGCGATCTGCGGCGTCAGTCAATAGTCACGCCAGCCGCGAGCATACCAGTCATCGTTCAGGCTGCTGTCCCGGTGCCAGTAGCTGGAACGGTCATCGTCCCAGCGCTGGTCTGCCGACCAGTAGTTGGAATAATTTCTATCGCTGTAATCCCAACGCTGGTAACTTTCCTGGTCGTCATTTGTCCTCCAGCGTGGCTCACGATCCCACTGGCTGCAGTCATCATTTCCTTCCCATCTGTCACCTCGATTCCGCCAGCGGCTGCGGCGGCGGTTGAAGTTGTCATCATTGTCGTCCTCTTGCCAGCGCTGCCTTGGCCAGGACACACTTGCCGAACGGTGCCTGGCAGTAGCTGGCAGCAAATGATCCTGTGTTTCTGATTGATCTGTGGTGTTACTTTGGCCTTGGGACTTGAAGGCCGTGCAGAAGCGCTCATGTTGGGCAAGTGCCCATGCATCTTGATGCGCCACACTCCGGCCACAGCCATGAGGACACGGGCTGCGGCCCGAACAAGGCCCTTGAAGCCCTTGCCTGGCCCTACACCTGCTAGATGTGGTCTGGTGTGCCAAAAGGGCCTGGAAGCCACCTTTCATGTTTTGACCACAAATCATGCAGGTCAGCACAGGCGTTCCGAACATTGGTGCCGGTGGCGGTGGCGGCGCGAAAAATTGAAATTGACCTGTGCTGCCTGATGGGTCGCTCTGCTGCGCTGGCTGTGTGCCAGTAGCAGCGGAATCTGTCACAGATGGTTGTGAGGGCGCTGCTGTCGTGGAAGCAGTAGCCGCTGGTGCTGAGACCGGCGGCGCTGCTGAGTTTGAATCTGCTGATGGCGCTGCTGTCGTGGAAGCAGTAGCCGCTGGTGCTGAGACCGGCGGCGCTGCTGAGTTTGAATCTGCTGATGGCGCTGCTGGAGTAGCCATCATGTTTGCACCTGGCGCAGCAGCAGGAACCGGCGCTGAGCGCCCCAGCCCTGCACTGAGTGGAGCAGGTGTCAGTGGCATTGCGCCTCCCTTTGGAGGTGGCAATGCCATGCCAGCAGTGGCAGGCTTGCCACCTTTGGCAGGCGTGCCACCTTTGGCAGTCTTGGCGCCAGCTTTGGGTGGCATGGCTGCAACTTTGGCCCAAGTTTCTGCCATATCAATTCAATATGTCTATTATTGTTGTTGTTGTTGTTGTTGCTGTTGTTGTTGTTTGTGCCAGCGCATCCGTATATATTTGGGTGGGTGTTATAGTAGTATGGTCAGTCAGACTTCTGTTGCTATTGCTGTTGCTGTTGTTGTGGTCTTGCCGGAATGGCAGCTATGTGAATAAAAAGGCAGCGGAAACGGTTGCAAACATTGACATGCCATGCACTGATTTGTCTGCTATAATTTGCAATATTATAAAATAAGATTATTGGTTTTATCTACAAAACCTTGTCATATATCAAAAAAAAACTAAAAACAAAAAAAAAAACTAAAAATGAAAAAAAAATATCTTATGGGGAGAATTTGGTGTGGGGAAGGGGCTGATTCCAGCTGTATCTCGTCAACATGCAGGAGCTGTCCTGGTCGCTTGCAACATTGGCATGACGCATGCAGCGGCCTTAGCAGACCAGGCTTTATCTGGTGCATATGCGCAGCGAGCCGCTAGACTTCCGGCGTGGAAAGTTGACCGTGAGTACAAAGGCACGGCCACTCTCCAGGGGATATCAGGTGCAGGTGCAGTTCCTGGAGATTAAGGACTGATACCTGGTTTCCCTTCCATATCATGTCCAACCACCTAGCTCCCTGAAAGTCATTGAAAGTCCCAAGAGCCTTAAAGGAACAGCCACTTGCAGAGTGCGACTGAAAATGCTTCTGGAAATGCTCGGAGTTTCTATAGCTGAGAGAAATTGACAGAATTGTGGAAATGCTGCGTGCTTTACGGAAGGAAAAACTAGAGCCCATTTTGATCAATCACTTTGTTGAATGGCGGTCAAACTAGATCAATCTCGAAAAAAATGCTCACAATTTCTCAGGCTTTCTCACGAGTTTCTACGTACTGTACCTTATAAATATGGTTGGTCATAGTGTACCTTGTAGTGTTCTTATTCGTACCGTCCTACTCACGAAAACTCACGCTTTCGAAATCTCACAACATGATGCCCTTTGAATCGCTGCCAAATAATCTATGATTCTCCACAATAGGCTTCGCAAGGACATTCTGCGGAGGTGTTCCCCACCGAACTTTTTAGTTCAGAGGTACTAAAAAGATTTAAAAAGTACATGAACTTTTCATGGCCACTTCTACGGATATAACTGCGAACTCAAAAGTATGCCCAACTAGACTTTCAGGGTGTACTGATGGTTACGATATCTTGGATCTTTTCATACCCACCCCCCAAAACCATCCAAAATCAATTTCTTTGCCCACAAAAACGTACATAAATCAAGACAAATCATCAAACAACCTACATAAAAGATAAAACACTCATCAAACTTTGCTCAAAATATACATGTATCATACATAAACCATCCATAAACCATCCATAAATCACGAATTTCACCGCAGGCGATAACAACGCCCGCCTCGCCGCGGGCGTTTCCATCTGGGCCCGTTCTGGCCCCGTGGTGCACCGCTTCGCGTTGCGGGTCACGGAGGCACAGGCGGCCCACGGCTACAGCGCGCAGGATCTGGGCACCTTGCCATGGTCCATGGGGATCCCTTTTTTTCCCGAAGCCCAGTTAACACTATATATCACTATATCTATCTATATACATATATATATATGTATATATATATGTGTGTGTTATATGTATATATATATATGTATATATTATTATTATTATTATTATTATTATTAATGCATGTGCATATGCATATACAGTTTTATATATATATATATAGATATACACATATGTATACCATTAAGTCGCTTTATAATTCTAGTTATTGGTTTGTAATGTTGGTTTATAAGACCTGAATTACTGTAGCTGGCTATAAATAGATATAAAGGTAGATAGACAGATATCTACCTTTAACACGGTAGTTGACCTAGTATCCAACTTAGCTATGTATTTTCCTAGGTAAGCTGGTTTCTAACACCATTAGCTTTGTGTACACACACACACATATATATATATATATACATATGTGTGTTTTACCACAAGTCCTAGTAATTAGTTGTAAGGTATAAACCAAGTTGATCCAATTTGGCTATCTTGGGGGCACCACCTTGCATGATAACCATGGAGAACATGGCAGGCTGAACATGTTTTTTTTCTGTCTTGGATTTTTGTTGTTGTTTGTGTTTGGGAGTTTTGAGGGGTTCGCCGCCAAAATCGATGTTTTTTTTGTTTCAGTCATCATTTTTTCACCACATGGACATGATTTGAAACCTCATTCCTTTTATGAACATTGGAGTTTTGGTGGGAGGTTACAATTCTTGGACTCATGTATTTTGCAAAGATGTTTTACCCAATATGCAGATCCCCTATGAAAATTGCAGTTCTCCTCAGTTTGACAAGACTCGTGAACCTGGTTGCTTCTTTGAAAGCAATTCCTGAGCCCCTTTTTCTTAGGCAAACCAACTTCAGCAACATGTACCCAACTAAACATGAACATATGACTAATACGACTTAATTTTATGGGTAAAAATATGAGTCTACATCAAAGATCTGTTTGGGTTGCTCTCGCTTGCTTGCGGCTATATTGCCTATTAGCTAGCATTAGTTAGCTAAGAAAGAAACATGTGCAACTTGGGGTGCCGTTTTTGTACGGGAAAATGACAGAGGTTGCACAAAGGGTTACCCTGCGCCAAGTGAGTGAGATTCAGTAAGCATCTCATAGAGGTTTATGGTGCTTAATAAGCGCTGAACATCCGGCCGTGTTTGTTTGGGGATGTAACTTTCAGGGATGCCTCTAAAAATCATGACGGATGGTGGTGATGATGATATGATGGTCATACCTGGTTAGCATTTTATGTTCAGGAACTTGGGTATGTCCCATGAAAGCCATGTCACCAATCCCATGCTGAGTGGTTTAGGCATGTCAATTTGTACCCTCTGGTTATTTAACAGTTTGCCATGGAAAGATCCACCATTTTTCAGTTCGGTAAACCATCCATTTCTATGGGGCATCTGGCTACCATGGCTATGTTAGTCATAACCAGAGGGTAAATCCCATTAGATCACCATTAAACCACCATAAAATCACCCATCTATACCATGGGTTTTGATGGCTTTAAATCAACATAACGAACTGTTATATAGCATAACCAGAGGGTATGATTTGGGATTCATAGGGGGAGCAACTGCCAAGGGAAAAAACAATCCAACTGCAGGTGGAGCCGGTGGATCCCCCACAACACTTGAAGAATTCGGAAAGTGATGTAGACAGCAACCAATCCTGGTTGGTTTGGAACATTCATTTTATTTTGTTGCTTCTATTGGGAAGTTCAGCACATCCCAACTGACGAACTCAGTCCATGATTTTTCAGAGGGATAGGTTTCTCCCACCAACCAGAATCAATATGGATCCTATGAATCCCATATATTAAACCATATTAAACCATACTAACCATATATAGGGTAGGTTTCTCCCACCAACCATCAAAAATGGCCAGGTACTTTGGCGAAGTTGGCTTTCACCCGCTCCAATGGCACCGCGCGGGACCCTGCCACGACTGTCTCAGCAGCAGCAATGGTCATCGAGGCATGGGCCCATGGGATCCTGGGACGATCTCGGAGAGGTCCTGTGTCGTTTCAGGGGCCCAAAATCACAAGATTCCAGACATGCTGGCTGATCTGGTATCTAGTTGCATGTTGATGTTGAAAGAATGTGAGTGACTCATCTTGCTGAATAAAATTGCAGCTGTGCCAGACACCTCTTGGTGAAAGGAAGAGAAAAGGGCTTTGCAAAACTGTTGTGTTTGGCATCATTTGTTCCATCCTGCCTGACATGATGATCCCTAATGACTAGTTTTTCCTAACCACCAATGCCAAGCAAGCAAGTCTCCAGCCTGTTATTCTTTTCCTCATGGGTACAAAGTAGGTGCCGCGCATAGCGTTTAAACACCATGAATCAATCCTTCAGCTCTTTGACGCAAGCGGATTCGTAGGCTCTGGTACGCAGAAATGTGCTTCAGCACAACTCTCCCGACCTCATCGCGAAGGAGGCCCACTTGGCTGCCCACTCTGCAGGCTGTTCCGATCACATGCTGCTGCTGAAGACGGCCGTATCTGCCCTGACGGATCAGGAAGCAGCGCTGGGTGCCAGCCCCTCGAAGATCGGTGAAGCTGCTAAGAATCTGGCACTGGCGCTGGCTGTGGCACCACCCACTGGGATGAATTCCAGCAGTAAGGAACTGATCTCTTTCAGGTCCGCCATGTGACTTTGCTGAAGGTGGCCATAGGTGACCTTTTTATTTTGGTTTCCTTCTCCCAATACGGTACTACCTGGTAACCGAAGCAAATGCGGGGAAGCTATCACGGATACAGTGGCAAACCCAATGCCAAAAGCCGACGTTAATGATTCACCAAAGAGGTGAGAAAATGTGAGAAAACCATCCACCAAGTGGAGGTATAGAGCCCCATTGTTAGGTACATACCAACTATATCATCATGTGGTTGGTGAGGTACAGTTGGTGTACCACATGATGTTTCCGTTTTGTTCTTTAGAGCCCCCTACAACTCAAACTGCAGAGAACATGATATATCAATCAGCGCACATCTCTTTAAACATTATGAATGCACGCAAGGTATGTGGAGCAAACACATGAAACAACTTACATTATAATTTGCGTATGTATAAATATAGAAAAATATGATAAAATATATGTATATATATATATAGGCATACATTATATATGATATATATATATCTATATAATATGTATATTATATACTATATGCACTTATATGCACTTATATTGTACAGTTGTTTGGATGTCCCTGTCTCTGCTGCACCATGTTGCCATCAGGTACGTCGCTGCCCGGGCAGCTGCCAGATCCACCATTCGTCAGCAGCTGACGGAGCAGCATGGCCTTCCCATCTTCGCCCGGGAGGCCGTTGTCCAAGCTCTGCTGGCGGCGCGGGCCACGGGGCACCCTTTGGGAAGCCAAGACATGGCGGAGCTGGTGGGGAAGATGCCCGGCTTGGATCCCTTGGATCCCGAACATTTTCCGGATCTACCTCGTAGTTGAAGATATAGCTATTGAACATATTGAAAAGACATGAAAATAACATGAAAGACACATTATCTATAGCTAATTCAATCTTAAATTACATTTGTAAATAGCTATTTGAACACGATCATTAAGTGGGAGATTTGGAGATGCACAGATGTCCATTGCTATTTGATGTCTCAATGGGAAGCCCACCAGATTTGTTTTTTTAAAGGGGCCACTTGAGCAAATGCAAGGACAGTGGTGGACATCAGCTTGAAGCAAGGTGTGATGGGAAGACAATACCAGTGAGACGGGCAACATCTTCTCAGGTCAAATTTGGGGGTCACCAGACCCACATCCCAGAATGACATTTACAAAATACTGCTTGGTGGCGAATGGAACCATTGGGAATGTCGTCACCCCAAGTGACTTTATTTTTTCAGAGGGGCAGGTATACCACCAACCGGAAACAAATCAGCTGTTGGTTTTCGACAGTTCTTGGTATCTGTTAAATTCTTGTTAGGGCGCAATGAAAGCCATCATGATTGCATGTTGATTGGTCAATTTTGTTCCCCCACTTTGGGTCGTTTTTGGAGATTGCACTTGCTGCAAGGGCACCAACTTGATTCCAAACAGATTCATCAGGCACATCATGATACACATTCGTGTATTTGTTTCTCTCATTTTTCCCACCTTATTGTCTTACTTTCTCACTCGTTCCACTTTCTTATTTATCAATTTTACTGAGTGATCTTCACTTCCCTACCTTCCCTTTTTCCCAAGTTGTCACCAGCAGGATGTAGGATGTCTATTGAAAGATCCGGGATCCATATTTTCCCAGCTTAGCTACAGAACGATATCTGCACTGATCCTTCCTTTGTAATCCTTTTTAAACAACATGACTGTTTTCGAGTGACCCCCACCCTGAAAAACTGTCCGACATAGTTTCTGACATCGTATATACGGCATTTATATTCTTACATTATATTTGACATTCTTTTTGGCATATGCTTTGACATTCTATCTGGCATACTTTCGGCATATACGTCTGGCATTCTTTGCAGCATTCTATCTGGCAATTTTTTAGGCATTCATTTTGGCATTCTATCTGGCCTTCTATCTGGCATCTTTTCTGACATTTTATCTGACATTTTATCTGGCATTTTTTTTGGCAATCTATCTGACATTCTGTCTGGTGATTTGGAGTTCGGGCCCAGGCGCTGGCTCGGATCCGGTCATGCCAATCCTTCGTTAAAATCTGAAGACCCTCACCTGGCAGGTGGGGAAAAGAGCTAGAGGTGAAAGCTAAACCCATTAACTTTGGCAGTGATTTTGGGTTACCTGTTAGCTAAGTAACCATGTCTCCTCCAAGATATCAAGGTTAAAGCCAAACCGATTTTGTTTCCGATTTGTTTCCCTAAGGTCCTGCTTAAACAGAATGTTAACTTTGATATAGAAAGATCCTCCTATTTCTTTTTCCAAACTCCCGGGTAAAAGCTAAACCCATCAAGCAACCCATCAATGTTTTATGGGTTATCAATAAACTAGCTGTCAGACCATAAGCCATCTATAGATAATATAAACCATTATAAATCTACCAGCTTCCTCATAGCTGCTGATATACACACATATAACACACACACATATACATATATATATATATAATAATGTGTGTATTGTATATACTCTATATATAAATAGATATCATATATATATAATATCCACAAAAACATCTTGAAAGATCTGTCCATTTCTCCAGGTGAAAGCTCGCTGCCGGAGATCCTGCAGATGTCCCTCCTGGCCCTGCAGCCCAGCGCCCTGGACCTCCGCGCTGCGGCCTTTGCGGCGGCCCTGGCGGTGGCCACCGAGAAGGTGCACCAGGGAGTGCACCCGCCACTGATTCGGAAGGACGGCGGCTTCGGCATGGGATCAACCCATGGGTTTTTGTTGGGGCAAAGGGGGGGTGGCGAAATTTAAAGTGTTCAAATATCCAAGAAAAGAACGTGTACAGCTAATCACATGTCCGAAGGGTTGCCATATGACTGAATCGAAACACTTTTGGGGGTTCAATTGTTGTTTACTACGGGCGATCTTCGCAATGGATGTGTTTTGATGAATTTAGCTTATGATTTCAATATTCGGACAATGGGGCGTACCATCAATTCCACAAGGAGTACCGCTACACTATATTATATAGTGGTTCTTTTGATAGTGCGCTTTTGAGACTTGAAACAATGGAAACTAGCATGGACATTGAAAGTATCATGGAATATAAGTCGACTATCATGTAATATAGTTTCTTTATATCTTTTGATAGTATCGCCCACCTTTTGGGACTTGAAACTAGCATGGGCATTGAAACAACGGGTTTGAAAGACGACCTTTCTGGTGAACATCCCTCAGTCTACGGGGTTCATTCAGCTTGAGGAAAGTCCCCAGTTTGTCGATCAATAAGGTAGGGATTGCGCATTGCCATGTTTGATGACTGGAGGATCAGCTGGTTAATAACCACCATTAACTATAGATTCTATAGATATGTGCATCTACCATAAGCCCTGGTGAGTTGTAAGCCAACTGAGCTCTGGTGCGGGATGTGAGGAGGCTCAGGCTGTGCTGGAAGCTCTGCCAGCAGATGTCATTGGCCCAGTGAAGAGCTCTTTGGCCTCGGAGGCCACCATCGAGGCGGTGGCCCAGCATGGTCCAGTGGATCAATTGCCGCTGGACGGCACTTTGGATCTCCATTTTTTGTTTCAAATTCTATGTCAACAAGAATGATCAAGAATGCGTTTTGCTAAAAGCACGGGACTTTTCTCCGGTGTTCGGATTCAGATTTGTTTGTTTGAAGATTTTGTCTGAATCAATGTGTTTTTCAAGGAAAAATTGCAGGGAAACCATAGGAAACCCCCAAGAATTGGATGGGGGTCTTCACCATGGTTTCGCGTACATTCTCCCTTGCACCAATCCATTGATCATCAAGAAATCCCAATGATTGGTGGTAAAATCCACCATTTGTTGCCACATGATTCACATGTTGTTGCTTAAATCCACCATTTGAAACGGCAGAACTGTTTCCTTCATCTTTCTATTTGCCAATTTCACCAGATGGCCTTCACTGTTGAACCGGGTCAGGCAGCACTTGGGTTCTTTGCTGCGGGAGGCTGCTGAATGGGACCCTGTGACAAAGCCTCTCCCAGGTGCGGAGTGCGCTGTGCTGCAGGGTGTTTGAATAGAAGTCTAATTCATGTGAGCTATGAAAATTATACCCTGATTGATGGGACTTATCTGGGTTTGAACCATCAAACATGTGGAGATATAAGGTGATATATATAACTGAAAAAATACCCGGGTTGATGTGTGTTGAAATAGGGACACATACTACCAAATTTATTGGTGACTTTTGTAACCCATAGTAGGGACACAATTTTCAACCGTTCAACCAACATGGGTATTTTCCATGTCTCAAGTGAGGGTTCCTCTTCTGGCCGCTGGTAGTGCTCTATGGAGCAATTTCTAGAGGAGACACGTTCACTATGCATTTAAGAGCTGCATTGCATGCTTCAAGGTAATTACCTCTCTGTCTCTTTCTCACATATATAAATACATATAGCCATTGTTCATACACCTGCATGCATCCCCCATCCCACGCATTATATAATCATGTATTTCTGTTTACATTCTTATATGCACAACTATATTATATAGAACTAGACGCAAATATAACGCACACACTTAACTATATCCATATATTATAGATATATACACATGTGTCTTTTCAAGCAGGCACAGAACATAAACCATGGTTGATCTGGGGGACTTCCACTTATTTGTAATCATTTAGGTGTTTCTTAGTCGGGGGATGGATCAGAAGCCACCAAAAAAGATTAGGAAAATTCGCGCTAGCACAATCCAATCTCGTCCAATCCATAGGAACAATAAAAATACATAGATTTCACAGAAACATGACACGCTCCCCAAAGTTAACATAGACCCCGGCAAATAGGGGGTTGGAAGATTACTTTCCACTAAAAATCAATCATTTTCAGGGTCAAACCGTTAATGTGGGGGAGGCTATGCACTCCCTATTAAATCACATTGAATGCCAATCAATTCCAGTATTGCTTGGTAAATCTTGCCAAAAATGCCCTACAACCTTTTTGAGAATTGAGAAACACTCGGTATCCATTTCACATATGTTCCAAAAGCCCCAATAAATCCCATTATACTGTATTTACGAGAGGGTATATGGCATACAACGGAGCGCCCCCCACTCATAAGTTTGGTTTTTAACTTATAACCCCATAAACTATCATGAACTAGCTCCACATTTTTTTAGTATATATATATAATATATGTATATTATATATATATGTGTGTGTGTATGTATATATATATATATAGAACCACAATTTCTTTAGCTATCAGAGTAAGAAAAACAAAAACATAGGGGCTATAGTTCGAGTTTTAGCTCGCCTTCAGCTTGAGGTGCCGTCGCCTCCATGGCCTTCCCCGCCGCAGTGCACGTGGCAAAACGCCTGGCTCCGCTGGGAATGCCAGGGCGCTCAGTGGAGAAGACGCGCGCAGTGGTGGAGTCTCTGGGGCTGCCCAAGGTGCCGTGGGGGTGAGGAAAAGGATGCGATTCCATCGGGAAAAACACCGAACACCGATACTTTATGACATATATGAGTATGTTTTTCATGAAAATGGCCAGAGATACAGGGTTATCCCCTATTTACCTATTTCCAGACAAACTCATCAATGAAACTGAAATCATTGTGGACTGTAACCGCTGAATCCAAACCTTTCAGCCTTTGGAGGGATCATAAAACCTTACTATGATGTTTGGTTCTATGGCAGTGCTATGGGTCAAATGGTGTGCCCAATAATATGATGTCTTGACATTGATGCCAGCCAACAAAATAGATAGATCATGATCATTAGTCAGTAACATTAGTATCAACTTTAGATCAGTTGTATAGTTGCCTGCTGCATTCTTTGATTCTTGATGCATCCCCAGGACACCAAAAGAGCCCAGCGTTCTGTTCCTCCCAGGCGGAAGCGCGGCGGATCTCCCTGCGAGCCGTTGCGCAGGTGGAAGCAGAGGTCGGCTCCACGTGGCCCGATGGATGCAGACAAGCAGGTGAAATGGCGCGGAAGGTGGTGATGGCAGGCATCGCACCGGAGAAGATGGGGCAAGATGAGCCTAGATTCCTAGATCTTGGAGAGTTTTGTGATTTCTTGGGGTCAAAGTAGTGAAGAGTTGAAGATCTTGAAGTTGTCGGTCCAGTGCCATTATATGTTCATATCCCGTCGGGGACTTGTTCAGCAGTTTTTGTTGCTATTGATTGCTATTGGCTTCAATTTTCAGAATATTTTGGTGGAACAGTCCGCCAGATATTTTTTGGGGATCAGTTGGATATGATCTTTATTTGATCTTTATTAGATTAATTAGAATCTTTAAAGGATCATTTGGGGCAAAGCCGGTCCGCAGTGACACCGACTCAGGACTTGGAGTCTGGTCATGCCTTTCTCTCGCTGGCGCTCCCTGCGGCTTTGAAGGCAGCCGTCAAAGCAGGTCCTTCAGATCCCGAACAGATGCTGGGCTGGCGAAGTTTGGAGCGAGGAATGTCCCATGGATGTGGCCAACAAGTCTCAAACCATACACAGATAGTCAGAGATATACATTCATAATCATTGATACATAAATAAAGAAAAAATAAAATATATTTGTTTAGATATACCAAGTCCTCCCAATATGTCCGCTGTAGAAAGAGGAGCCCTGTGGGTTGTATATCACATCTAAAATTATATGTTGTTGTTTTTCTACGATAATATGTATTTGCACATCTTGAAACCTAGGTTTTGTACTACTACCTGGTTGGTGGTTTGGAACATTTTTTGTTTTTCCATATATTGGGAATAATGATCCCAATTGACTTTCAAATTTTTCAGAGGGGTAGGTATACCACCAACCAGTACTTTTTGAAATCTCTCAGTAGCTTTTGTCCCCACAGATTTGGGAAGGTTGTCCCCTTTTTCAGCAACGTATTCAGGATGGCCACCTGCGCGCGGAGCGCAGCACAGGGCGCCATGGGCACAGATGCCGCTTGGATCTGGGTGAAATCTCTGGTGTTGTTGGTTGAGTCACAGACCCGTGGACCAAGTTGAAACTTGGTAGCTGTACTTATGCTGATAAACATTTGATCAAACTAGCACTCAAAAAAAGCAAGGTTTCTATATAGGTATGGCCCTCTACCAGCTTTAAGTATCTATAAGTCAGTTAAAATTAAGCCTAATAAAATGGGATGATAACCCCATGTACACCCATTTATACTTGGTAAAGGGTGTAACTCTAAGGCGTGTTCCCTGCCTCAAGCGAACTCACCAGAGGCAAAGACGGCGCTGCAAGGGGAATGGATCACAGAGGCGGCCGATTTGGTGGCTGCGGAGGTGCGGGGCTAGGTTGGGGTGGCAGGTGTTTTCCAGGATTTTCTTGGCGATTTTTAGGCGGAAAAGGACATCAAACTTGAGGGAGATAGAGATCACGGAGAGGGATACTGAATTTTGTTTGCTTCAAACTCATGTTTAAGCCTGATGTTTCTGTGGAGTCTGGCATCTTCAGGCACATTCATTTGTGTTTTTCTGGGAGGGAGAACTTGGCACCCAGCAATTTCTACTGGTACATATGCCGTTTGGGGTTTAACAAAGCTGGGCCAATGATTATTCTGTGTGGTGCTTTTGGTGGTTTGAAATCCCCGTGATTATCGCTATATGTGTTTTTTTCCGTATTCCACATGCAATCAGCTTCTGCGCGAACTGTGCAATCCGGTCTAAACGGTCTAAGTCTAAGACCATCTAATTTCTACTCAAGAATCGTTCAATATCTTTCAATCAGGGTCCCGTTGCGCAGGGAATTTGCGAGGTGGTGCCCTGCAATTATGTGTGTTGGTTTATATCCACCATAAACCCTTTACTGACGGACACACACTTAGAGCATTGTTTTTTTTCAAAATTGAAACATAACTTACTCTTAGAACATTTATAGACCCTACAAGGTGGTGCCATATATACTTGTATAGCTAAGTTGGTGCAAATAACTCTAATAACTCTTATTTATTGTAGATATATCGAACTAGTTCATGGGGGTTATAGGCCAATTGATAACATTTTATAACTGGGAAAAACATCACCATATATAACCATCATAAGCTCCCATCATATAGACCCTACTGAAGTTCGAACCCAAGGTGGGGTCGTTGTGGTCGTAGGCGGCGAAGACTGCGGTGATGGAGGGCCAGTTGCCGTTTCAAGTCACGGCACGGGCGGAGAAGGCTTCGGTGACTTGGAATGCGTCGCTGGAGATGTTCAACTAGCTCCCAACAAAAAGCTGAGATGATTTTTGGATTATCATCATTTTTGGATTATCTATATATATAATTATATATATATACATATCATGTCTTTTTAGTTACAGTACAACAGTTTGATGTTATGTATGATCTTCTTTGGTGTTGGCTACATTTTGATTGCTCTTCTTGAAACAAATTTTGATGATCTTATATGATACTATATGGACATGGAGATCTATGCATCAAGAGTTTTGGGGGTGATGGGTTAAACGGAAACCATAAACCAAATGTTTGCAAAATGTATTTAGATGTTTTTAGCCCTCACCAAACTTGGTAAGTCACAAAATGTATTTAGATGCTTTTAGTGCTCACCAAGTTTGGTAAGTTATTCGGTTTGTAAATAGGGCAGGGCATATATCTTTCGATATTTTTGATTTACCACTACCTCATGACTTGGGACGGAGATATACTAAGTCGCATTTGACATTGAAATTATAAATTAGTATAAATTAGTGGTGGCTAGGATATGTTGGGTAATTTCAGGGTCAAAGTTCTCAATTATAGTGGGCTTCCAATTTTGTCACTGACATGGACAATTTGATGTGGTGGCTTGGTGGCTTGGGGGTGCCCTGAAACACAGCTTGAGGAATAAGGAAGCTACAAAGACTCAATTTTTTAAAGGCCATGTAGTTCCCAATTGTGAAAGGTAGGTCTGAGAATAATCGCTCATGCGCCATAGAAGATGTTCTGATCAATTTGGCACATGGTATATACAGGACGAACACCATATCAAGAGGTAAATCAACGAACTAAACGGTCCATGGCTTCCATAGCTTATGTTAATTTCCACTCAATCTCCAATTAATTTCATTAACTTCCCACAGGTGCCCCCCAATTATAAATTGGTTTATAACCCGTTAACTAGTTCGATATATCTACAATAAATAAGAGTTAAACTAGAGTTATTTGCACCAATTTAGCTAAGTATGGGTCACCACCTTGCAATCCCATCTGGTTATGACTAACAGTTTGCCATGGAAAGATCCACCATTTTTAAGTTCGGTAAACCATCTATTTCTATGGGCCATCTATTTTCCATGGCTATGTCAAAGAACCAGAGCCCCTGTGGGATGCGTCAAGTCCAAGGCTGCCCTGAGAGCATCGAGCCCCGAAAGCCACCACAGCGTAGCTCGGCCCAATGACGTAGCGATGTGATGTGGGCCCGGGGCTGGAGTAGTTGGGTTTATAACGAGGAAAATTGATGAAAATTGGGGATAAGATGAGCCAACGAATATCGATAGGTGGGGGACTCTGACGGTTGGTGGCCCTTCCACACCTCGAAACTGAGGTGATACCCTCTGGTAATTTCACATTCTGATGAAAAATAGGCCGTGAAAGTAGATGATCTACAGTAACTATACGTATGTTTGATCTATGAATCATCTGGAAAATATCAGTACTAACGATAATAAATGGACAATAATCGCATGTTGTTCCGTAACGAATAATGAATAATTCTTACATTATCCATGGACCATCGCGACGTTCTCCGTGTCCAGGATGGGATGGCGGCCGCAAAGGCCATTCTTCACCATGGCCTGGAGGATCTTTGGCCAAAAATTTGGCTTAAAATGACAGGATGGGGCCCCTGTTCGATAGCGTTCAGTTGAGATAGAAGTGGCAAAAAAGCCTGGTTTGTAGTATATATAACATGATATAACTATAGTTTTGGGATGTTTTGGGGGGCCCCATCCTGTAGTAGTAATGTGGGAAAATCAAAGCCATGTTTACCATCCCCCAGTCAGAAAACCCTTTCTATAGTTGGTATGGCTTACCATTCCCAGGAAAATGGGAGGTTATGGCATTGTTATACCCACATTATTTTGTATTAGTGGTTATTGATGATGTTTAATGGTTAATGATGATGATTAGTGGCTCTGCATGTGGGGATTGAATGGTTATGCCCAAGGGTAAACTGACATAGATGTGGAAAAACACATGGTTTCCCTAGGAAAATGATCCAAGCATAGGGTGGTTAATGATAAGTCGCATCCATTGTTTACTTATCAATTTTAGGACGAAATTATAATAATAAATTCAATATCACATGGAAATAATGATTGAATATGACTAGTAAATATATGTAACAACTGTTGTTAATACAATTGTCCCTACTATTAAAGGTACAGCTTGCCAAACTCATTTAGAATGATAATTCATTTAATACTGCACCAGGCACTATTCTGGCATATGATTTGGTAGCTCTGCTAATTTAACTGTTTGCCATGGAGAATGGCCCTTGAAAATAGATGATTTACCGATGATTCCAATGATGATTTCCCATAGCTATGTAAGAAATTACCAGCAGGCTAGGGTGTCAATACTATTCTGGCATACTTTACTGGCATGATGATTTTTCAGTTGTTTTTTGTTGGGTACTGGTATGTGATTTGATAAGCGCTATGAATACAAAAACTCCATCCCAGAATGGACCGGAGGGTAGGCACGTTTATGACCCACTGATTGAGTGATCACGATTCTCCAACGAAGCCCAGAAAGGCATGTCTTGGGAAATTTTGTTCAACAAAAACGCCGCCTCCAAATTGTTCACGGTAAAATCCGTATGCAAACCAACATTTCTTCTGGGGCAAAATTTTGTTTCTGCATAAGTCATGTGGTAAATGGGCTGGCTGGGTTTCGGCGCTGCGGCTTCCCAGGTCTCAGCAGATCACTCGGAAACGGCACGGCTGGTGCGCCCTGCCTTGGGGAAGATCTTTGGTGATTGGTGATCTCTGGTGCGTTGACGCTGAAAACCCTACGGTTCCCCGTTCGGAAAATCCTCTACAAATGCTGGCTTTTCCACATCAATGTAAGTTTACAGGAGGGTACCCATCAACTATGAGCTTAATAAATTAATGTGGTGAATCCAATAAAGCATCCTCAAAATCATTCCCAAATGCTAGGTTTTTCTTATCACCACCCCGGTAAGGCCACTTTTCAGGGGGGAGCATACCAAAATGCAAGATACATTTTTGGGGCCTCCCCTTAAATGTAAATTTGGTCACTGGACGTTCCCCAGGTATCGAATTTGTGGGGAGGGTCGTCAAAATACCTTCAAAATGTAAGCTTACATTTTCAAGGTCCCCCTCTAAAACACCTTGAAAAATGTAGCTTACATTTTGGGTACGTCCCCCCCTTTAAAAGGTTCGTGATTTTTTCCCGAGAGCGTTTGAGCGCAGGGTTCTTCTAATAGTGGGGGTCTGTCAAACATTTTCACATCTTCACATCTTCACTTCACATCTTCTCATCTTCACATCTGCTCATCTTCACATCTTCTCATCTTCACATCTTCACATCTTCTCATCTTCACATCTTCTAATCTTCACATCTTCTCGTCTTCACAGCTTTTCATCTTCACATCTTCACATCCTCACATCCTCACATCTTCACATCCTCACATCTTCACATCTTCTCATCTTCACATCTTCTCATCTTCACATCTTCACACCCTCACATCCTCACATCTTCACATCCTCACATCTTCACAGCTTCTCATCTTCACAGCTTCTCATCTTTACATCTTCACATCTTCACACCCTCACATCTTCACATCTTCTCATCTTCACATCTTCTCATCTTCACATTCTCTCTTACCCTCTTGCTCTCTTGCCCTCTTGCTTTCTCCTTCTTTTCTATTTCTCTCTTGAAGGCGCGGGGCAGTGCCAACGGCCCGAAACGCAACACTTTCGCACCAAACGAGGTTCGATCGCCAAAAAATGCGGTAAAATTGCGATTTTGAGTGTCCGGCGGCAATCCTTTCGCACGAAACGAGGTTCGATCGCCAAAAAATGCGGTAAAATTGCGATTTTGAGTGTCCGGCGGCAATCCTTTCGCACGAAATGAGGTTCGATCGCCAAAAGCTGCGGTAAAATTGCGATTTTGAGTGTCCGGCAGCAATCCTTTCGCACGAAATGAGGTTCGATCGCCAAAAACTGCTGTAAAATTGCGATTTTACAACCTCCGCGGCGACGCTTTCGCACGAAATGAGGTTCAATCGTCAAAAACTGCGGTAAAATTGGCAATTTACAACCTCCGCGGTAACCCTTTCGCACGAAATGAGGTTCGATCGTCAAAAGCTGCGGTAAAATTGTAAATTTACAAACTCCGCGTTAACTAAAAGTGTCTGTGTGTAAAAGTTTCTGTGTGTAAACGTGTCTGTGTGTAAAAGCATCTGTGTGTAAATGTGTTTGTGTGTAAACGCGTCTGTGTGTCAACGTGTCTGCGTGTAAAAGCTTCTGTGTGCAAAAGCTTCTGTGTGTAAAAGCGTCTGTGTGTAAACGTGTCTGTGTGTAAAAGCTTCTGTGCAAAAGTGTTTGTGTGTAAAAGCGTCTTTGTGTAAAAGCTTCTGTGTGTAAAAGCGTCTGTGTGTAAACGCGTCTGTGTGTAAACGTGTCTGTGTGTAAAAGCGTCTGTGTGCAAAAGCTTCTGTGTGTAAAAGCGTCTGTGTGTAAAAGTGTCTGTGTGTAAAAGTGCCTGTGTGTAAAAGCGTTTGTGTGCAAAAGCGTCTGTATGTATATAAATGTGTCTGTGTGTAAAAGCTTCTGTGTGTAAAAGCGTCTGTGTGTAAAAGCGTGTGTAAACGCGTCTGTGTGTAAACTCTTCTGTGTGTAAAAGTGTCTGTGTGCTAAAGCATCTGTGTGCAAAAGCTTCCGTGTGTAAAATCTTCTATGTGCAAAAGCTTCTGTGTGCAAAAGCGTCTGTGGGCAAAAGCTTCCGTGTGTAAAAGCGTCTGTGTGTAAACGCGTCTGTGTGTAAAAACGTCTGTGTGTAAAAGCGTCGGTGTGTAAACGCTTCTGTGTGTACAAGCTTCTTGGTGTAAAAGCTTCTGTGTGCAAAAGCGTCTGTGTGTAAAAGGTTCTGTGTGTAAAAAACTAAAGGAAGGATAGGATGCACACTATTGTCTTGTACTTGTAATATATTTTCTTGATACTACTCTTCTCGTCTGCCTATAATACATCCTTAATATATTGTCTTGTAATATAGTGTCTCAATACCAACAACAGAAGACCCTGCTCCTCTACGCTCTCGGGCCATCCGTCGTCTAGTATTATTGGGCTGCCCAAATTAGATATATCGTGTAAGTCTTAGCTAACCCCGTTTGGCTCGTCGTTTCGAAGATCATGATCCCACTTGATCATGTTTTGTGGATGGGAAACATACCACCAGTGCGGGATTTTGAAGCGCCTTGGATATTGCTGTCTGTCAGTTTGACAAAGTCGTGCTTGATACATAGCTAAGTTGGTTTACAGCTGGGCTAATTATGGTAGATATAATTTGATATAATACGTATACCGTACATATATATATATATAATATTATCTAAAGTTAAAGGGGAAGATACGCCAACTTATGACTGGGGGGCACCACCCTAGAGATACCTTTGCGATTTACAAGCGCCAGGCCAGGGTAGCCGCTGAGTCCAGTGGCTTGCGAATCGAAGAAGCTCGACATCAGGCGCGCTTTGAAAGTCCTGTGGTTTGAACATGTGGTTAGCCTTGCGAGCCCTGAGTTTTCTTTTTTGGCTGAAATCGTCATTTTACGGATTTGCGTGGTTCCAGGCATTTTGGACTATAGAGGATGTTGATAAGATGTGTCGATCATCAAGCAACTCATTTATACATTTGAGTAGGGTCATAGTCAACATCTGAGGGTCTCACTAGGCTTGTGGTCCCATCCTGTGAACCCAAGTGCGGTGGAGATCTATACACCTTTCGCTGTCCGCTTGTGAAGATTTTGCAGGGCCTTGCGGGGCCTTGAGGGGCCTTGCGGGTTTGTCCCCGACCCATTGACATCCTTCATGGAACAAGCGTAACCAGTGATGTGCTGTTCGTTTCAGAATCATCACTAGACCTTCTCATAGCACCACTTCGGAGCGCGGAAACCGGCTTGGAACGCTCCCCTTTCCTGTGCAGACCCTCATGTAGCCCAGATCTCTAAATGGTATTGATACTATAGGGACTTTGTTTCCGGGCTGGTGCTCTCTATGATTTTAATTCCAACATTGACCTAATAGGATATCAACCCCCAAGCCGGATGCTTCATCCAAAAATATATGTACAGCTAATATTGTTCATGTTGGCAAACCCAATAATAATAATAAACAATTCCAAATGGTACCACACATGAATATAATTTGTGCGTATAAACCATCACCAAATGGATCCAAATGGTAGGTTTGCTATTGGGTTTCCCGCATTATTGGGTTGTTATTGGGTAAAAACTAACTACATATATAGATTGTATGATGATTTACTTGTTTACAAATGTGGTTTTCCATAGCTATGTGACTAATAGCCTGAGGGTAATGCCAATAATAATGATGATAATAACATTTATCTATCTATCTATCCATCCATGTATCTATCTATCTATCTATCTATCTATCTATCTATCTATCTATGTATCTATCCATCTATCTATCTATCTACCTATCTATCTATCTATCTATCTACCTATCTATCTATCCATGTATCTATCTATCTATCTATCTATCCATCTATCTATCCATCTATCTATCCATCTATCTATCCATCTATCCATCTATCTATCTATCCATCTATCTATCTATCTATCTATGTATCTATCTATCTATCTATCTATATATCTATCTATTTATCTATCGATCTATCTATCTATCTATCTATCTATCTATCTATCTATCTATCTATCTATCTATCTATCTATCTATCTATCTATCTATCTATCTATCTATCTAATCTATCTTATCTATCTTATCTATCTTATCTATCTTATCTATCTTATCTATCTTATCTTATCTATCTTATCTATCTTATCTATCTTATCTATCTTATCTATCTTATCTATCTTATCTATCTTATCTATCTTATCTATCTTATCTATCTTATCTATCTTATCTATCTTATCTATCTTATCTATCTTATCTATCCATGTCTGTCTGTCTGTCTGTCTTTCTGTCTGTCTGTCTGTCTGTCTGTCTGTCTGTCTATCTTATCTATCTTATCTATCTTATCTATCTTATCTATCTTATCTATCTTATCTATCTATCTATCTGTCTGTCTGTCTGTCTTTCTATCTATCTATCTATCTATCTATCTACATGCATACCACTAATATTAATTCGTTTGTAAAGCGTCGCGGCCATCCAAGCAGATTTGAAGATCACTTGTGATCTTCGAAGGTGGCGGAGCAGCTTGCCTCCATGGTCGCCAATCAGCAGGCCGCCGTTTGCAGCATGGAACATGGAAGATTTCCATGGCAAAATATGGGACAAATCATGGCAAAATCATGGCGAAAGATGGGAAAATCTGGGACACTTCAAGTGCAGTCCTGGAGGTTGATCGCAGCTTGACTAATATCAGATGTTTGCCTGGTTTCAACAAGATGCCCTTCCAATTTTCAGGCTGTCCAATGATTTCCGTTGCAACTTTGTAACAGTCACCATCAGCCAGAAAAGATTTTTTCTTTGGCCTTGTCACATTGTCACTGGCGACTGCATGAAGCTTGGGCACGCTGCATGGCGTTTGGGTTCCATTGCCATGCTGGACAGTAGTTGGCATGTTTTTTTTTTCCCGAACACTTTCTTACCCCAGCCCAAGACGGCATATTGTTTCATTCCAATCGCCGACTAAAGTCATAGCTGAGAACAGAACATCGGAAAAAATCAGCAAACAATCGGCATTCCAGAGTGGTCAGACCATCATTTGGCCTAGCATTAACTCAGCTTCGCAGTGCATCAATCGCTCTTGCAAGAGGTTCCTGACAAGTAGCAGCAACTCATCACAGACACATCAGCACAAGCACTCATGATGTAAGACCCTTGGCAATTCTTGGTGCTGCAGTTCGCAGATGGTAGCCATTCAGCCACCATTTTGCACATCTTCCCGGTGCTTTGCAGCTGACTAAGAGTTGAGGACCTGCAGTCATTGAATCTTGCTTGGCATTGGTGTGAAAACTTGCCAGGGACTATGGGATTTTCGAAGGTTTCCCCACCAATTTCAGATGGTCGTTTCTATGTAGTTTCTTCTTTTGCTGTGAAATTTTGGTCCATGATTCCATTAGTAAGGGTCCTTTTCTGATCTCTGCCGATCTCCCCTAGGTCGCCAGATTTTTTCCATTCCAAGTTGGGTTGTTTTGGTTGCACCCTGTGGGATCTAAGGCTTGGTTTCCTCCATGCTCGATTCGTGGCGCAGCGACAAAGCACCCCTGCTGTGGCACGTGGCCACGTTGCTCGGGGTGGTTCTATTCTTTGGGCCGCCTGTCCTTGATGGTCCTCCGGTGGCCGATGTGATTTTTGAGCTTAGACCAAGTACCCAATGGTTTTAGTGTAATAATTACTATTTACCCATTTTGATGGGCATCCGCAGGGTCTAGGAGCATTCAATTTTAGGGGTTAATATGGGTTAACAATGTTGAGCCATGGTCCAGACATGTTTGTTTTTCGGTGTGTGTGACTGTGTGTTCGCTGCCATTGCTTTGGCCGAAATGCCGTATGAGCGGGAAATTCGCACAGTGACGCAGTGAACAGTTGAACCTCTGTTGGATTGAACCTCTGCTGGAACCTATTGCTGATTATTTGTTGGATTAATTTTCAAGCCAACCAGTCCATTGTGATACATCTTATTGTTGTTTACCGTTTACCCCACATTGGCAGCTGGTTTTGATCCAGGCCAAAGCGACACCGGTTTCTGGCCCGAGAGCCGAGGAGGGTTTTTTCTCAAGCACCCCCCTGGGGCCCCATGTGGACAACCCTGGTGGGTCAACCATGGAGCAGTTAGGATTCAGTTCGGACGAGAAGTCCGGACGTCTATGTTCTTCTTCCATCTCATGGTGTTTTTTGTTGTTCAACATGTGATTCATTCCCCATAGGATCCATGGTGCTGCTATATATGGTAACATGGATCCCATCAATATACCCCCTTTATGTTAGCATTAATATACCAGCACCATGGATCCTATGGGTTCTGTGTGTGTTGATGTTTCGCGGTTTTTCTCTGGATACCAGGTAACTTTGTGGCCCAACAGGTGGTGAATGTTTTTTTCGTGGCAGGACGATGCCAGCGTTGAGGGAATTGGTGGAACTATGCAGCTTTTTGGACGTCACGGATCTACACCAGGAGCTGCCATTGGAGCATAGATGGGATGTTTTTTATGGTTGAATTGCTGAAAAGGCAAATGAGAAGATGCGCAACATAGATAATATGGAATATATTTGAAACGTTTCCGGTTTGTTCTTCATGTTTTTTCACGGCACGCGTGTGGTGTTTCTTCTTGTGTTCTTTTTTTTTGGTTTGACGGTCAGCCATGGGCGTTCCTACTACCCAGCAACTGCGGAGATGATTTGTCCAGCATAGCTACCCCGCATGCTCCATGGTGGTGGTACATGTCCCTACACATGAACCACATAAATGGGTCATTTCGTGTTGCATGGATATATGATATACCTCTATATAATGAAATCATTGAAATCCCCATGAATGTCACATATAAACCTCTATGTAAATCCAATTGGTTCTGTACATATTTCCATCCCACAGAAACCACCCCCAAAAAAAAAACGTGATCTGAATCCCAGACATCCCAAAAAATCCCCATGAAAAACCTCACAGATCCCGAATGAATCCCAGAGTTTGGCCAGGCCTTACTGGACCTCTTTGGTCCGGTGACCTTAGGCCGCCTAGCAGCTGCCAGCGGGCAGCTACACAATCGCGCCCTGGCGCTTTCAAGCTCTGAAAGCTGGGCCCGTTGGGGATGGGAAAGTGGTGGAAAATGCCATGAAAATGCCATGAAATGGTGATTTAAGATGATTTCACCAAGAAAGATTGGGTTTGAATTGTTTTTTCATGGTGATTTCTTGTGAGTTTGGCTGAAAAATACGGTGATTTATACAATGGTGATTTGGATACAATTGGGGGGATTCTATGAGATTTGTAGCTGAATAGCTTGGTAAAAATCACTTGAGTTAACTAACTTCAGTTTTGGGATCTAACGAGCTAGTGGGCTGAAACTCAAGCAACTTGGCTATCGTTATTTTGGGGGGGCGTTCACCTTCTAGGGGGCTGGAATTTACCGAACACCTGCAGTGAAGATGTCATGGCGATTTGATAACTCCATAGGGATTTCATAGTGGGATTTCATAGGGAAAAATGGGGTTGAATTGGATTTGCATGGGATCCAAGAAAGGGTTCATATGCAATGGAAAATGAGACTCCTTCATGATGCCTATTTAATGCCAAATTGATGGGAACTAAATGGAACTTATTTGGATTTTTTGTGGATTGAATGGAGACTTGAAGAAACCAAATGCCTGAACCATGAACAAAGTACCCCTATTGATATGGGATGGTTTTACTAGCTGGTTTATTGGGTATTAATAGCTTGACAAGGGATTGGCTATGTTTCACGGCTCAAGGGACCTGACTATGGCATTGATTCAAACAAACGCCAAGCCTGGGGGTTAATTGCAAGTTGTGACAGCCTTGAAATTCTAATTATGTGACAGACCCAGGTGCTTAGAAATACCATTGACTGCCCATGTTTGGCACTTGGAGAGTCTGGGGACTAACCTTTGATTATTTTGGCTGCAGATGAGGCGTGCAGTGGATGGTGCAGAGGCTCAAGACTCATCGAGACGGCTTGAAGGAGGATCTTTTCTTCTTCTGTGGCCGCTGTGCAATGAAAACCATCCAGGGCGGAGTTTTGCGCTCCTTGATCCGCAGCTGGGTAGGGGTTGGTGGGTCAAACTGGTTGGTTGTGGGGTGGTCTGATGGCTGTTTGATGTGGGTGGAAAGTGGGCCACGCTGCAGGTGCATCAAAAAAACTGGGATCATGATTCCCTCTCCGATACCCGGCAATCTTAGGGCCAGAGAGCAAACCCAGATATTCAATTTAGGGAAAAGAAATTGAGACACCACGATTTTTGTTTTAACCATGATTTTTTGGAGTTTCATGTAACTTCCCCCTTAAACCTATCCGTGGATTGTTGGCTCTGTATGCCATGTCATGTGATAGACATCTCCATCACATTCCTTTTCTATCCCATATACACGGTAGTTCAATCCGTGTTTTTTTGGGGGGTGCAGTGCAGCCCACATATATGATATATCATCCATCTAAATCCGTAACGAATCCCATGCGCAAACCACAGAAAAACATATAAATCCGTATGTAACCCATTCATAACCCATAAAAAAAACTGGTTGATGGTTTGGAACATGAATTTCATTTTTCCATGTATTGGGAATGTCAGCACATCCCAACTGATATTTTTCAGAGGGTTGAAACCACCAACCAGAAACAATACCCTTTCGTAAACACACAGTTTGCTATTGAAAATGGTGATTTATAGTGGATTTACCCATTTAAATCCATTAAACATGATGATTTTCCATTGTTATGTAAATGTTTACCAGGAACCATCCATATACATCCATAGAAATCCCAGTGGTTCACGGATTGAATCCGAACGGGGTTACGGAAGTTCGCAGGCAATGGCGCTTGGTCAACACCTCAGATCCCGGGACGACCCACGCGGAATCAGGTGCGCACAACGAGAAAATTGTCAATGGTCGCATCATATTGCGATACCCAGAGGACCATTTCCATTTGAACATATCTTCAGGTTTTATAGTTTTATCATTCTTTTTGGAGACGTATATAGATGTATAGTAATAAGTACGTCTAAATAGTTTCCACGTTCCATGAATCATTTTGTTTTGTTTACCGAGTCAGAATTATCTCATTGTTCTGAAATCATCCTACCGTCCCATCGCTCTGAAATATATCGAAGTCATGATGAAGAAAACCCCCCAGCAAGGAAACTGGACCTAGAAATCATCCCAAAGGAGCCTGGTCTTAACATCATGTTCTAAAAACAGCCACAATTATATCTACAATACCCATCAACATCCCAACATATTTTTTGAATCATTGGGAATATAGTGGGAATCTTCCCATTCACTATATCCATCTAAATCATTCCATGGTTCAAGAATATCTTTCCAACAACCCCCCGAAAAGCTAGACAAGTGCTTTACCACTATATTTTGATCAGACTTCAGGATTTTTCTTGATTTTACTTTTCTATCATGTTATTTTTTTCTTGTGCTATACCCTCTGGTAAACTAACACAGCTATGGAAAATCACAGTCTTTAAATTTATGTAATAGGAACATATCGGTAAATCAACTATAAATAAATGATTAAATGGTCCATTTTCCATAGCTATGTTAAATTACCAGCGGGTAACAGTGCTTCACCAATAATTTTTGATCAGGCTTCAGGATTTTATATACTTTTCTATTTTTTTTGTGCTATAAATGGCTAAGCCAATCCAATGACTAAATGCTATACCCTCTGGTAAACACACAAAAAATATTGAAAATTGCTATATAGAAGTAATTATATAATTGATTTCCCCATTCAAAATGGTGGATCTTTCCATTATGTAAACGTTGACCAGGCCGGGTAACTCGTTCCGGAACCCCCGGGGGTTCCCAGGGCTGGCTTCCGAGCCCGGAGCTGCCCACGCCGCGCTTCGCGGCGGCCGCCGCTGTGCTGGGCAAGGACATTCTGGTCATGGGCGGCTACGGCGGGATGGACCTGGAAGCTCGGACCGCGGTTCGGAAAACGGGGGAAAACCCGAAAAACGTCCGCATGTCCTGGCGAAAATGTGGAGAAAATGATGGGAATCAGATGGAATCATGGAAAAAACACGGTGAAAACCTGGGAAAATTCCATTTTTTGTGGGGCTGCCAATGGCGTTGGAATTTAACACATACAATTGGTTGTAAACGGTGTAAACCAAACAATCGTGGGGATGCAACTGGGGATATGCATGGATCGATGTGCCGTCCGGTAAATCAAACCTGGCAATTAAACATCCAAAATTTATATAGTTAGTTGATTCTCCCATCAAGACCATTTAAACATATTCAAAGCCTACATTGATAGGGGATTTTCATTTGCCCCGTTTGTTTTTCGGGTTTAGGCTAGTGGGATTTTTTTTTGGGGGGGGGACTTGGATCAAGTATACCGGGAGGGAGCGGTTCGGAGCGGTGCCATCAATAACCATGAATTCTGAAAGATCCAATGAAGATCCCCCAATCATCAACACAAAGCCGTTTCCCAACATAAGTCAATAAATACCCTCTGGTAAACTAACATAGCTATTGAAAATGACCATTTATAGTGGATTTTCCATTTAAAATAGTGATTTTCCATAGCTATGTTAGTTTACCAAAGGGTAACCATCCATAAGCACCTTTTTTTTTTTGGCCAACCACATGACTTCCATCAACTTGAGGATGTGACAGAAAAGTTTGATCCGGTCACAAACCGATGGAGCAGACCACCAGAACTCCAGCTTTCATGTGCCAGATCAGAGTCCCTGGGCTGTTTGGGTTGAGCCTGAGGTTAAAAAATCTATAGCTGGTTGGTGGTTTGAAACATTTTTTATTTTCCATAATAGGATTTAATCCTTCCCATTTCATTGACATTCATATTTTTCAGAGGGGTAGGTCAACCACCAACCAGTACAACTGCTGGTAAGAACATGTGTTTCCTCCATAACGAGCCCCGCCCGAACCCGAAGTCGAACCTCCCCCACCCCCCCTCAAAAAAAAAACGGTTCGCTGGGCTAATGAAACAGTTTTCGGCAGTAGGATTTGTACAAATATTGCTCGCAATGACCACCGAAGCCGAACCCGAACCCGAACCCGAACCCGAAGTCGAACCTCCGCAACCGCCCCTCGACCAAAAAAAAGCAGTTTTCTGCAGCAAGATTTGTACAAATATTGCTCGCAATGACCACCGCAGCCGAACCCGAAGCCGAAGCCGAACCCGAAGTCGAACCCCCCCAACCCCCCCTCGACCAAAAAAAACAATTTTCTGCAGCAGGATTTGCACAAATATTGCTCGCAATGCCCACCGAAGCCGAACCCGAACCCGAAGCCGAACCCGAAGTCGAACCCCCCAACCCCCCCTCGACCAAAAAAAACAATTTTCTGCAGTAGGATTTGCACAAATATTGCTCGCAATGCCCACCGAAGCCGAACCCGAAGCCAAAGCCGAACCCGAAGTCGAACCTCCCCAACCCCCCCTCGACCAAAAAAAAGCAGTTTTCTGCAGCAGGATTTGCACAAATATTGCTCGCAATGCCCACCGAAGCCGAACCCGAACCCGAAGCCGAACCCGAAGTCGAACCTCCCCAACCCCCCCTCGACCCAAAAAAACAATTTTCTGCACTAAGATTTGCACAAATATTGCTCGCAATGCCCACCGAAGCCGAACCCGAAGCCAAAGCCGAACCCGAAGTCGAACCCCCCCAACCCCCCCTCGACCAAAAAAAAGCAGTTTTCTGCAGCAGGATTTGCACAAATATTGCTCGCAATGCCCACCGAAGCCGAACCCGAACCCGAAGCCGAACCCGAAGTCGAACCTCCCCAACCCCCCCTCGACCCAAAAAAACAATTTTCTGCAGTAGGATTTGCACAAATATTGCTCGCAATGCCCACCGAAGCCGAACCCGAAGCCAAAGCCGAACCCGAAGTCGAACCTCCCCAACCCCCCCTCGACCAAAAAAAAGCAGTTTTCTGCAGCAGGATTTGCACAAATATTGCTCGCAATGCCCACCGAAGCCGAACCCGAACCCGAAGCCGAACCCGAAGTCGAACCTCCCCAACACCCCCCTCGACCCAAAAAAACAGTTTGCTGGGATGATGCAGCAGGATTTGTGCAGATATTGGACCACCGAAGCCGAACCCGAACCCGAAGTCGAACCTCCCCCACCCCCCCCCTCGAACAAAAAAGCAGTTTGCTGGGATTATGCAGCCGGATTTGTGCATATATTGGACCACCGACGCCGAACCCGAACCCGACGTCGAACCTCCCCAACCCCCCCTCGACCAAAACAAACAGTTTGCTGGGATGATGCAGCAGGATTTGTGCGGATATTGCTCGCAATGACCACCGAACCCGAACCCGAACCCGAAGTCGAACCTCCCCAACCCCCCCCCTCCACTACAACAAACAATTTTGTAAGCGTTCCATGGCAGCAACATTTGTCAAAGACCCTACCCTATCGATGTGGTCTGCCCCCCCTTATATATATGTATATATATATATATATTTTTTTTCCCCCCCTTCGGTAGCTCAAGTATAACGTGTGTCTTTCCTCATTCCCAGGCAGTCTGGCTTCTGTTTGCTAGCGGTAGCTTCCACATACATCTTTTTTATCCTCCTCTGACCTTTTTCCCCTGTGACTTGCCCATAGAAGACCAACCCCCTCTGGCAACATGCTGTTGTCCCAGCTGACTTGCCCATAGAAGACGAACCCCCTCTGCGCTGCAACCTGGCCCTCCTGGCATGTGGTTTCGGGCGGTCCTGGTGCGCCACTGTGAGATGGTGTCGGATACACTCCTCGCAGCGGCAATCCTCGGCCGCTGTCCCACTGCTCTCTGGCCATGCATGCAGAAAAACTACTGCCAGGCCCACCTACGATATCCCGACGTCGAACCTCCCCAACCCCCCCCTCGACCAAAACAAACAGTTTGCTGGGATGATGCAGCAGGATTTGTGCGGATATTGCTCGCAATGACCACCGAACCCGAACCCGAACCCGAAGTCGAACCTCCCCAACCCCCCCCTCCACTACAACAAACAATTTTGTAAGCGTTCCATGGCAGCAACATTTGTCAAAGACCCTACCCTATCGATGTGGTCTGCCCCCCCCTTATATATATATATTTTTTTTCCCCCCCCTTCGGTAGCTCAAGTATAACGTGTGTCTTTCCTCATTCCCAGGCAGTCTGGCTTCTGTTTGCTAGCGGTAGCTTCCACATACATCTTTTTTATCCTCCTCTGACCTTTTTCCCCTGTGACTTGCCCATAGAAGACCAACCCCCTCTGGCAACATGCTGTTGTCCCAGCTGACTTGCCCATAGAAGACGAACCCCCTCTGCGCTGCAACCTGGCCCCCCTGGCATGTGGTTTCGGGCGGTCCTGGTGCGCCACTGTGAGATGGTGTCGGATACACTCCTCGCAGCGGCAATCCTCGGCCGCTGTTCCACTGCTCTCCGGCCATGCATGCAGAAAAACTACTGCCAGGCCCACCTACGATATCCCTCATCAGAAAAAGAACACGAAGATGCAGCAAACGAAGAAGAAGCAGAAGCAGAAGAAGAAGAAGACGAAGAAGAAGCAGAAGAAGAAGCAGAAGCAGAAGCAGAAGAAGAAGAAGAAGAAAAAGAAGCAGAAGAAGACGAGGAGGACAACAAAGACAAAGACGTCACCAGCGAACAGACATGCGGAGGAGGAGGATAAAGAGGAGAGGGAGGAGGGGGAGGAGAGAGGCGGCTAAAGAATAGCGGCAATTTTGTAAGCGTTCCATGGCAGCAACATTTGTCAAAGATCCTACCCTATCGATGTGGTCTGCCCCCCCCTTATATATATATATTTTTCCCCCCCTTCGGTAGCTCAAGTATAACGTGTGTCTTTCCTCATTCCCGGGCAGTCTGGCTTCTGTTTGCTAGCGGTAGCTTCCACATACATCTTTTTTATCCTCCTCTG